GTGTTAGGTGTGACAGTGTGTTAGATGTGACAGTGTGTTGGATGTGACAGTGAAGCCCTGCGGGTATGGGGGCCAAGGCATGACTGACACCTGGAGAAGAATATTGGTATTATGGTATGAATGAATTAAATAATTAGCCTCTTCCTGCATTGTCAGTACTTTCATTCTATAAGTCCAATATTACATGTATTATATAATCTTCATTTTTATAGTTAAAATATGTCATTGATAAATAAATGATGGTATTGTGGAGTGCAGTTTTAAATAAATCTTTATCATCATCATTATCATAATAATTATAAATATAATCAACATTATTCTCATCATTATCATTACTATCACTTTTATTATTATTATTATCATTATCAGTGTTTGCCACTTAGATAAATTAGTTGCTGGACCGAAGGTCCAGCCATCTTAAAAAGTAGCTGGACTGAATGTTTGACAGGTGGGAAAACTTCTTGGCCTGTTCTGAGAGTTGTCTGCTCCAGGCAGGCAGTCCAGGATTAATTTCGAACACTGATTATTATTATAATATTATTATAATTATTTACTTTCTGTAGTCTTCCCTGAGGGTCTGGGCTGGCCAGTGTGTTCAGTCTCATCTGATATCGCGTACAGCTCTCACAGAACACCTCCCCACACCTGCAAGGATGAGGAAAAGTGAAAGTGAAAGTCTATGAAAGTGAAAGTGAAAGTCTGTGAAAGTGAAAGTGAAAGTCCGTGAAGGTGAAAGTGAAAGTCTGTGAAAGTGAAAGTCCATGAAGGTGAAATTTTGTGAAAGTGAAAGTCCGTGAAGGTGAAAGTGGAAGTCCATGAAAGTGAAAGTGGAAGCCTGTGAACATGAAAGTCTGTCAAAAGCAGAAACTGAAAGTTTAATGACAAAGTGAAGGATCATCCAAGTGCAAATTTTTCCCCATTGAAAAGATCCAGTAAGTTCCATATACCAAACTGATCACAGAGATCTTGGAATTTTTACCTTCTACAATGGTGTTTCCTGCTGATCAAACTGAACCTGTTTCCACAGCCCTCCGTGGCACAGACCTTCCTGGAGTCACTCGGTTTCCAGTGATGCTTTGTGATTGCTAGAAATAAAGACAAGGTCACATTTAACATTATTACGTAAACTCTTTTTTTAATTCTTTAAGACAATATGGTATGGGTTCCTTAATGGGGTTACTATATCAACATGTCATTTTCTGGCATTGGTGGCTAGGAACAAACTAGAACATTACAGTGCAGGTATAACAGTTACACTGATACTCAACATCACTTGTTTTTAAGAGATGCATGCATTACAGTACTTACTACCAAGGAAACATGACTTCTCTCCTCCATCCCCACCTTCTGTTCATTATACCTACCATACTGTCCTCTGTGTCTTACCCAGTATTTTGCTGTGACTTCTAACCCCCCTCCTCCCCCTCACACCCCAACCCTGACCTAGTCCCATTCCCAGTACACCTACCATACTCCTCTGTGACTTCCCCAGTCTTTTGCTTTGACATCATCCGCCTCCCCCACACATCCACCCCAACCACATCACTGGTATGCCTTCCATACTGTTCTGTGACTTCCCCAATCTTTTACTGACTTTACCCACCCACCCATTCACCTTGGTCCCATTATCAGTACACTTACCATACTGTTCTGTGACTTCACCAGTTTTTTGCTGCAACACCAGCTTTTTAATGTAGCTCTCTACGGAGTCCTCACCCTGGGTGAGATCTGCAGGTATCCCACTGCCAGCCACTGCCATATCTGAAACAGCCCAAAAATCACACATACTGGATACCTATAGGTATAGTACCATCACTTGGCAATAAAGCTGGCCAAGAAGAGCCACTATAGCCAACATGGTGACTGACCCAACAATAAACAAGGTATGCTGATTTGTTAAGTTGCATCAATGATATTAATTACCAAGAAGTATATTTTGCTTTTATATAATAGGGCCTAAACATGCATGTACTAGTAACCCTATTTTGGGGGAGTTATCATTTCCTGCGCTTGTTTGGGACTGGACATGTACATGTATTACGCTGTGTTGGGATGTAATGTGCATTATAGTCACACATGTACCCTCAACAATCTGGTTAGACTGGTGTGTGTGTATGTGTTTGTGTGTGCATGTGAGTGTGTGCATGTGTGTATGTTTGTGTGCATGTGTGTGTGTGTGTGTGTGTGTGTGCATTTGTGTGAAGGGAGGGGCGGGGATGCCTCAGTTTTTGGCCTTACGTGCTAGGCACTTACAAGTACCCCTGCATAATTCTATGGCACTAGTATAAGTACTATTATACTACAAATAGTAAGGCCTAAAACTGAGACAACCAATTAATAATTTATAAGCGCTTCCACAAAGAAAGAAGAAGAACCCTCGCTCACCGGTAGGTGCTACACACATCGCGTCAAAACCGAGGTCAATACTCTACAAAATCTGCCCTGCGTCACATGACTACATGTACGTACTGCAATTTGTTTAGTTTCGTTTCCATGTAAAAAGTTTTAATTAATCATGATTTATGCGAATGGCGTGAAACTACCAAACAGTCAAGTTCATGCAGCGCCTCAAATGTACCCATCCTTATATTTAACTTCTGTCATCCTCGCAGAAAAAAGAAGAACACTGATTTACTCACCCACAGCGATGCACAGCCAGCCGACGAATGCCCTGCCTACTTTGTTATCATGTTCGAGGACGAGTTCCGCTTGTGATGTTTACTCGCGTAAGATGGAAAATACCTTGACATCGATACACTGTCACGTACTGCCTGTGCAGCCAGTATATATATATCAGAATCGTTTATGGGTGGGAGTTCTAACGCATATATTTTGCGTTGAAAGAGTTACATGTAAATGAAAAGTGAGAAGATTTTGGTGATTACCCATTAATTAATTAATTAATGGCTAATTTTTAGTTCTGTAATTCTGTTTTTGCGTGTCGGATTGTTAGATCTAGGCCTACTGCAGGGGCGGATCCAGGATTATTTGAAGGGGGGGGG